GGCTGAAGTGGCTTTTGAGGTGGTGGAAGGCAATCAAAGCCACTGTGGTGTCACTTAGTTCTACCTACTGCCGATCGTTCCGGCCAACACTCATTCCAATGTCCTGATGGCCATGGTGTGGTCATCTTCACGAAGAACACTCTGTAGTGGTGTGACAGCCATCTCGCGTGAGTGATGCGTCCACGAGGGCCCGAGTGCACCAATGACCCACCCTTTTTCTTATTGGCCTCTGTCAGCAGTCGCCTGTTACGCACGCGTAATCATGCGCACACAAAGCCACTTGCATGGTGTCACTAATAAACGGTCGTGTTCTCTGTCACCTCCTTTTCCCCTATCCTCGAGCAGTTACGGGCTGTTAACCAGAGGGTTGTAAGGTAGTGCTAAGTTCCCAGCCACTACAAACCGACATCAGATTGATATTGGCAACTGCTATTATCGCTGTCATAACGGAAATTAAGTGCAAATCGGTTCGATCTCAATGCATCAATGACACACAGCAAGCGAAATGTGCATAAAGGTGGATAAATGTCTGCTCTTATAAGAAGGTTGATTGTGAATACTTAATATTGACTGCGCAATTGGTTAGAGAGTGCTTGATGAGTGACACCACTCTTCATTTATCGAGTGCATCTTGTCATGGAAACATCCAGAAAGCAGATTCTGATGCCTCGAAATCTGTCAGCAGCTCGTCCTCAAACAATGGGCAGTCTGTCTGTTGTCTTAATGCCAACTGCGCCAACGGAGGTCCGGCGGTTCACTTGGTCAATCAAAAACAAGTTCCAACTCGGACATTGCCTGCTAGTAGTAGCCCATTCAGATCATCACCTAACCTGACGAATTCACTACCATCGACTCTTAGGAATGAGGCCAATTCGCCTTTGGTTCAAGTGTGGAACGAAGCCGGCATCGATTCTGGAGCTGCCATTACAGCCAATTCACATTACGCTGCCTCTGGCCTTCGGGTCAACGTAAACACCATCGCCGCCGCTCCCGTCTGGGATGGAGAGCAGTTGGAGTCCCTCCCCTCAGCGGGAATCAGTCCCAAAATGGCAATAAGACAATTTTAAAAACAAACGTATCACGTATAAGCTCACCGAATTTCTCAACTACCCTAATATCTATTTTGTTGCACACAACGCTGATAAGCGCCAAGTTGTTCCCGGAAGTGAACAA